CCAGCTTTTTTCTTTTTGCTTATGTGGTGCTGAGGAATCGAACCCAGGGCCTCATGCATGCAAGGCAAGCACTCTACCACTGAGCTACCTTCCCAGCCCCTTTTGAGTAGTTTATTAGAGATAAGAGTCTCATGGACTTTCTGCCCTGGCTGGCTTCAACTCATGATCCTCATATCTCAGCCTCCTGAGTAGCTAGGATTACAGATGTGAGCCACCAGTATCTGGCTAATAGGGAAGGTTTCTTTGCCATCCACACATGTGGTATATGGGGCTCACAAACTTGGCTCCTTTGCTCTTGGTTGACATTCTACCACTTGAGCCACATCTCCATTTCTGTCTGCCTGGGTTGCCTTTGAACTATACTTTCAGCCTCCTGAATGATGAGGGAAAATTCTTCATGTGAGTATAGGCACACCTTAGATCTCCACAGACATGCTGGCTGTTACCATTTTCAAGGTATTTTGACAAATGTATAATCTCATGTCTTGTGGCTTGTATCTAAACAGCTCGTTTTCCTTGCAGCCTTGTCTTAAAAGAAGAAGCTTCTGATTACCTTGAACTGGATACAATTAAAAATCTCGTGAAAAAGTACTCACAGTTCATAAACTTCCCTATTTACGTATGGAGCAGCAAGGTAAATAAGTCTACATTGGTAAAATTTAAATGTCGCCTTGGCACGTGTTGGCATGCGTAGCACTAAGAAGATGTGGGTTAAATAATACAGCATTCAGTTAAGGAGACTCGGGAGTTTTGAGCTGTAATGTTTTTATAATCTGTAGATAGAATTGCTAAACAAACTGGCCATAATTATACTGTGCTTCAACAGACGGAAACTGTGGAGGAGCCCATGGAAGAGGAAGAAGCAGCAAAGGAAGACAAAGAGGAGGCTGATGATGAGGCTGCAGTGGAGGAAGAGGAGGAGGAGAAGAAGCCAAAAACTAAAAAGGTAGGGGGTCTCTAGGAAAAACCTGGGGGCACATTGCAGGAGAGTGGTATTTCCTCTAACTTAAATACATTTTCTTAGTCAAGCATGCTGGTGCATACTGTATGTAATCCCAGCTCTTAGGAGGCTGAGATAATAGATCTCAAGTTGAGGTTAGCCTATACTATTTTTTTTCTTTTAGCTGTGCTTAGGGATTGATTGAATCCAGGACCTCTCCCACATGCTAGGCAAGTGCTCTACCATGCATGGAGTTAAGTCCTTAGCCCTCAGAAAGATATTTTAAAAGAAAATTTTATCTAATTCATTAGCTTGTTATCGACTATAAACCTAACCAATTGCCTTTCTGTACTGAATATTGGCCATGAATATTGAGAGTAAGACATTGCTTTTAAACATTGATCCAGTAGATAGGAACCATACTAGAAAGCAAATATCGTGGGAATTTTACATATTCTCCTGAGATACACAAGATTACTTCTAGGTTAGCTATTGACAAATGCTAGAGACTAACAAAATTTTGTGACTCCAGGTTGAAAAAACTGTGTGGGATTGGGAACTTATGAATGACATCAAACCAATATGGCAGAGACCATCTAAAGAAGTAGAAGAAGATGAGTACAAAGCTTTCTACAAATCATTTTCAAAGGTAAATACTGTATTAGAATTCTCTAGCTTAAGAAAGACCTTGAAGACAACTGGAATACATCTTTCTTTTAGAAGTATAACAAATCAAAATATTCTGTTGATTAATCGTTGAAGTCACATTTACATTTCACTTGAACTTTCAAGGTTATTGTTGAACTAGGGACAGACTTCAAGAGAAATTGGCTTCCAGAAAAATGTGTTGCTGACACTGAATTGCTAGCTCTTAATTTGATAATAAAACACATTACAAAATCTGAAATGTTTTAATACATTTTTATCACTCAGATTGCCCTTTTAATCCTGAATATTCTGCGATTTTTTTTTTTATACTGAGGGTTTCATAAGATTATGTAGGAGTCTGGTACAGGAACAGCTCAAGAGCCACCTCCAAGGAAGGTGTTTGATTTCCATCATAAAACATGTAGTATGTTATTGACTGGCTTTTAATGTTTTAAAGAGCGTGCTTATAAAAATATCAAGACATGTGAAAACAGGCATCTAGGAATAATGACTAATATTTTACCTTGCCTATTTTTTTCCCTTTCCCCTTTTATTACTCTCAGGTATCCAAAACTAGCATAAAGCTGTTTCTAGTGTATCCCCAGACAATTCTGAAGAAATAGTAGAATATGTCAAAGGACTTAGTATAACCACATAAAATCTAATGTTCTATGACTGTATCTGTTCTTTATATTCTAAATCCTGTAACTTTCAGTGTGGAGAAACTTTTGCTTTGTCTGGTTCTACTTTTATGACCATGAACTTTAAAGTCTAACGTATATAAACTTATTTGACAGCTTTGCTACAATACAGATAAAACATGAGCCATATCATGTGATTTTCAAAGTTTTTAGAAGCTTTTTGTTGTTGTTGGTCGTGGAGCTCTGGGCTTGGGTGCTGTCCCTGTACTCTTCAGCTCAAGGCAAGCACTCTACCGCTTGAGCCACAGCACCACTTCTGGTTTTCTAATAGTTTATTGGAGATAAGAGTCTCAAAGACTTTCCTTCCGGGGCTGGCTTTGAACCGCAATCAGATCTCAGCCTCCTGAGTAGCTAGTATTACAGGAGTGAGCCCCTGCACCCGGCTAGAAGCTTTTTTTTTTGGGGGGGGGTCCGGTTGTGGGGCCTGAACTCTGGGCCTGGGTGCTGTCCCTCAGCTCTTCAGCTCAAGGCTAGCACTCTACCACTTGAGCCACAGCGCCACTTC